GGCCATAGTCTCAGTGGTTCCACCAGGCTCTATCAGACCAGCAAACCTGGTCCCCACCTTTTTTTTTTTTTTTTCTCCAAATGATTTTGAGTTTTGTTCCACATTGTTCTCCCTCTCTATCAAGGATCTCCTACATAGATCCCAGAAGAGGAACTTTCATTGGAGCACCTATCTGCTCTACTTAGCATGACTTAAAGATAGTACAACATGAAAACCCAAAGAGCTTTCAAGATGTACAGAGTAAATCTTGCATAGAAATTTTAAAAAATATTTTCTACATGGCAAAGAGCATCATACACAAAATGAAAAGATAAGCAAAACAGCAAGCTGGAAAAAATATGGACAACATATCTGATAGATAAAGGCCTGCTTTCCTTAATATGTAAAGAGCTCTGAGGAATCAATAATAATAATAATAAAGACCAATAACCCAACGGGGAAATGGTCAAAGAGCATAAACATATAGTTTTCTGGGAAAAAAAAAAAGGGGGGGGGGGAAATGACTTGGAAAATACACTCAGTCTCATCCATGAGAGAAATAAAATAGAAAATAGCATGATGCAATTTTTTCCCACAAGACTGACTAAACTCAAAAAGGTTGATAATACCTAATATTAGTAAGGATGTGGGGAAACAGGCACTCTCATGCATTGTGATAAAAATCGATGCAGAACATCTGTCATAATCAGTCTTAAGATCACAAGGTCTTTAACCCATCTTTGAGGTCTTGGCTACCCTAGATCCTTGCCCCCTCCTTAACTGAACCCTTTATTGTACAAGGGCTTTTATACATGGCAAGGGACAATCACCACTCCTTAAACTTTGATTTTCAATTTGTTAATTCTATGAATCTATTAAAGAACATCTTCCTAAACATTAATGTAATACAAGTGAATAGTTACGTAATGTTTAGAAGAAGGTTATTTAACAAGTTCATGAATTTGACAAATCAAGGTTTCCCAAGCATTTCAACTTTGTTGTTCTTGTTAGCTATCATCAGCTCTGCCCCAGCTCACGGTGACCTCCTCTATGCACAATGGGATGAAACACCGGCCAATCCTGCACTGTCCCCATCATTGGCTGGGATCCACAGGGCTCTCATTGGCTGGCTTTCAGAAGTAGATCACCAGGCCTTTCTTCCTACTCCATTTTAGTCCAGAAGGTCTGCTGAAACCTCTCCAGTACCTTAGGAACACACACACCTCCACTGACAGGGGTGGTAGCTGTGGATGCGGGGCACTGGCTGGGAACCAAACCCAGGTCTCGTGCATGGGAGGGGAGAGTTCTATCAGTGAAGCACCACTGCCACTATTTGAACATCATTGTTGTTGTTAGGTGCTGTTGAGTCAAATTTCAACTCATAGCAACTCCATCTAGAATTGTCTCACAGGTTTTCTTGCCTGTAATCTTTACAGAATCAAATTGCCAGATCTTCTATTATGAACTTGGAGGGTTCAAACTGCCAACTTTTGGGTTAGCAGCCAAGTGCTTGACTACTATGTCACTAGGGCTCCTTATTTGAACATTGTTGTTGTTGTTGTTATGTGCCATCAAGTCATACTTGATTCATAGTGACCCCTCCTTGGGTTTCCAAGGCAGTATCACTATGGAAGTAGATTGCCCAACCTTCCTTCTGAGGAGTGGCTGGTGGGTTTGAAC